TCTTAGAAACTCTTCTGGTTTCTTAATATTTTTGCACAGTTTGTACTCAATATAACCTTTCATTTTGTGTACATTTAGTTGGATAAGCTAAAAACTATGAATTACTTAATAGCTTACTAAGCATATTTCTAGTAATATTAATCTAAAGTGATATGTGAGGAGGCAGTAGATGGCCTTAGAATCCGTGCAGAACCAATGACCTGTGCCGTTTCTAGGTATGTTTGTGTGTATGTAGGACTTGCAAGTGTTGGCAGTTTCCTATTAAAGTAGAAGAAACAATAAAATAAACTATGCACATAGGCAACCAGTGATTTTTCCTGTGTCATGTTGTTTAGCATATACTGTTACCAAGGGAAGTACTGTATACTCTCCTATGTAACTTACTAGAGACCCAAACTTGTTTTTGTTTTCTATTACTCTACCGTTCTGTTAATTGTTGCTCTTCACTTCTAACTGTCAGATATAATAATTACCTTTCCTTAAATATTTCCATGACTTTATTTCCCAAACATTATTTCACATATATGCTAAGAAAGGACAAAATAGCCTAAGTCTGAGGTAAGCTTTGAAGTGACTCTTCGGTGATTGTTCTAACCACATTTTGAAGACCCACTTGACATGAGTCAGGGCAAGAATTCAGTACCACTGAAACATTTGAAGGAAATAGAAGAAAAGTCATACTTAAGTCATAAAATGTGAATATGTACTAAGGGAACAACAATTTTGTCAGATTCTTTAGATATATAATAATTTATAAGAAATGGAATCATTTACAGAGGTATAACACAATCTAAGTTGGCCAAATCTAAGCATTTTTAATGTTAAATTTCACTGTTGGCCTTTTCTCTTGTCATAACGAAAAAAAAAGATTCTTAGTTGACATTAGAAAACAAACATTGCTGACATTTGTATCAAGTAATGGTATAGAAATTTAATTAGGACCATGACAGATTTTTTAAAAATCTGGTAACTGTAACAAATGCATCACTTTAATAAAAATTCTGGCAAGAAATGCATAATAAAACACCCAGTATGTATCTGTGTGTACAAATAATTTATATTCTTTTAATAAGGAAAACAGGCTTTAACAATCACATATTACAACATTTTAATCTGAAGACATTATCTTCTGATAGGCAAAAAGCTTACTGTATTTCTCTGGGGATACATCTGTACTTGAAATAATTTGGCTCATATATCAGGTTTAATTAGTGAGTCAATTGTAAATATCCATTGTGTAAATCCTGCTATGAGAAATTGAAATCCATATGAAGTAAATATTTAATTAAAAATTAATTGTAAACTAGCTTTAGAAACTTTAATATATTTTAAAAATTAATTGCCTTGAGAGTCCATGTTTTCCCAAAGAGGGAAGCAGGGAGCTACACTTTATACCAATGATCAAGACCCTTATTCATGGATAGAAAGGTTAGCAGAAAAGTTTAACTTTTAAACCCACCATTTTCTGTATGGCACTTTTACTTCTCAGAGACAACTTAATTTTTAAAAATGAAGTCTGGACATTGGATATTTGATTGTCTTTTGAAGATAAGGGAATTAGCTAATACTATAATATTCATAAATATTTATTTTTGAAGTTAAGTTCTGGCAAAATAGAGAATATGATTGAAATGTTTCAGTAGTTCTGTCTTGCAGATGTTGAGTATGTTCAGAAAGGTCAATTTAAGCTTTTCTGTTTTAATCCCCTATTAGGAGTAAATATACATACATATATATATATATATATATATATATATATATATAATTTGAAGAAGTCATAAAAGAGAAAAGGAGATACTGGGAGTGACTTAAATATAATATATGTGAATTTACTGCAGTGCTAACACTGTTCAAGATTTCATCCACTGTGGAGAACCTTTTCCATATTCCTTATTTTCCTCTACTCGGAGTTCATGTGGTTCTCACAGTTGATTTTTAAAGCTATTAACTCACAACTAGCTTTAGTGGTACTTTGTGTTAGCACTTCAGCAAAAGCATAACATGTAAACCCATGATCAATTTGGCAAGAATACAATTTCTGATTCTAGAACAAGTAGATAAGCAAATCTATTTAACCAATAGATAAAATAGAGATCTAAGTACTGGAGGAAAAAACTAGTATATTTGATCACATATGCTTTAGAAAGATGCAACCTAATTTTCAAAATAAGTATTTCATGAATCAAGCAGTGACTTTCTCAGTTTCCTTTGCTAAAAAAATATATGAAAACCATAAAAAGTTAAAAAATGCAAGCAATATTTCCTAACTGTCTTTAATATATGTAACTGAATATACCCTCATGCTTGAATGATAGGGGGAAAAAAAAGACTTGGCCAAATGAAAGAAACCAATTTATGATAATATTGGCCACCAAAATATTATTTTAGTTATTATTTTTAAAATTCCTGGCTGACACATTTGAAATGTTCCCAGTCCTGGCTTATATAACTCAAAAAGCACAGACTAAACATGACTTTCAAGGGCAACTCTGAATGTTAATGTTTCCATTTTCGGCCTCATGGCAGAAAGAGTTTTATTAACCAGTGTAAGCTCTGGAATGTCAAAGGCGTGATAGGCAGTACAGACTCCACACACAAAATAGATGCATAGTCATTTTATTCTAAATTGCTTCACTTGAAAATGTACCATGAAAATCTGGAGAGAGGAAGTAAAAGTAAGTGATTTTATAGTGCTCTAAAAGTTGAGACTTGAAAAATAAAAGTCCTAGGATAAAAATGCTCTAGCATTCGCATTTGTGATGTAGCTAATCCTCTTAGGTTCCCTTACACCTGCCTTATAGTTTGAATAACTAAGAGCAAGTCCCATAGGTGCCAGGACAGCCTTGTCTGTAGGGACTGCAGGTTTTCTAGAAACTAACAGGCACTGTGGGCTTCTCTGGTGGCTCAGATGGTAGAGAATCTGCCTGCAATGCGGGAAACCCGTGTTTGATCCCTGGGTCAGGAAGATCCCCTGGAGGAGGGCATGGCAACCCACTCCAGTATCCTTGCCTGGAGAACCCCATGGACAGAGGAGCCTGGTGAGCTACACCCAGGCGGTTGCAAAGAGTCAGACATGACTGAAGTGACTTAGCACACGTGCATGCATAACAGGCTTTGTCTCAAACCGTCTTCTTCTTTCTTATATTATATAATAACATATTCTAAGAAGCAGAGTAGACGATTAGGAATTTTACATACTCATTTAGTCATTTCCAGGTAATAATTAGTGTAGCATGATAAGATCTGGTGGAACTGGAGCTCCCAGGCCAGGTGTCTTGGATCTAGAACAGCCTCCTCTGTTTAGTCCTCCCCTATTTACCATCTGTTTATTCCTCTCTGCCTTCCCCTGTTTATCTTTATAAGAAATCTATACACTGTGATTTTTAAAAGATTGGAGTACTGTTTGGGGTTATATATGCTTGATAGTATAATTGTAATTACACATTAAAAACTAGAATCTTTACCCATTAGATTGTAGTCTTTACACAGTCAAGAAGGGCCAAACTCGTCTGTGCATATTACCCTCACCCCTGCATGTGGTGCTGTTCATTCAATAAAAAATTATTGATCTTTAGTTGTATGGAATGTAGTGAGAAGGACAGAGAGTGCCTCTGTTTTAATGGACCTTATATTCCAGTACATAAAGATAAACAATAAATGACTAATACAGAAGAAAAATCCAAATGTGAAAATGCCATGTTAAGAAAGTTATATGACTCAGGGAACTCAAACCAGGGCACTCTAACAACCTAGAGGGGTGGGATGGGGTGGGAGGTGGGAGGGAGGCTCAAGACGGAGGGGACATATGTATCTCAATGGCTGATTCATGTTGGTGTTTGGCATAAACCAATACAACACTGTAAAGCCATTATCCTTCAATTAAATAAAATTTTAAAATGAAACAGATAAAATTAAACTGTATTATTTGAGTTAATAAAAAGTTATAGAAATGGTAACTAAGAAGCAAATTTGGGTAGCATCTTCATGAAAAGCCTTTCTGAGCCCGTGATGCTTAAACTGAGTCCTGAATGATAAGAAGGAGAGATTATTTAAAGATATGGAGGAAGACCAATTGGGGGTAAAGCAAACAGCTTGACACAGTTAAAGAGAGAAGATAAGTATGACTGAAACATAGTGTCAGAGGGTGAGAATGGTACGCAGTTACTTTAGAGAGGAAGAAAGGTACTAGATCATATAAGGATTTCTGGTTACATAATTTGGATTTTCCTTCTTAGTGTCATGGGACCACATTGGTTTTTATCCAGGGGAATACCATCTGATTTATAGTTGAGCGGAGGAGAAGGAACCAGCAAAAAAACTAAAAAGCAGTTCTTAGTGAGATGAAAGGATAATCAGGTAAAGGCGGTACCTGAAACTCAAGAAGAGAGAAGGTCCACTATGGAGTGGTTAATTAGGTTGGTAACTGGAATGTCGATTAAAATAGTATCACAAAATGGCTATTAGATTTGGGAACCTGGAGGTTGATGGCAACTTTTATAAGAGATGTTTTAATGGGATAATGAATAAAGGGAATAGTAGGGTAAGGGAGTGGAAAGAGTAACTGTAGGAAACACAAACTATTTTTTAGTGAAGAGGAACATATAACAAGGCAGAAGCGATAAGGGTTTTGGGGTCAAGAGTTTGTTTTGGTTTGGTTGTTAATGGAGAACTGTAGAGGAGACACTGAAGACGCTCGAGGCAGCCAAGTATTTTAGGAGAACAGTCCTTGAAAAGGTGACAGAAGTGGGATAAAGGACAGCACATTAGTATGCCTTTATCAGCAGATGCTTTTTCTCTCTTTCCTTTCACATTCCGTTGACAAAAATGTGCAAATCTTGCTGAGCACCATAGCAGAAAATTTGCTGGAAATGGTTCTAATCTAATAAAAATTGCATTACTCAAAGCAGAAATGGCAGAAATGAATCACACTCATTTGGGAAAAGTTTCTTGGTGTACAGAGCAGGAGACTTTTAATTTCCTTTTAAAATTATATCTTTCAGGTGCTTCAAGAAGACCTAGAACAGGAACAAGTCAGAGTCAATTCTCTCACGCACATGGTGGTGGTTGTTGATGAATCTAGTGGTGATCATGCAACTGCTGCTTTGGAAGAACAACTTAAGGTCAGATTATTTTCTTTAATATAGTAAATATGTCATTCAAAATAATTAATTGCAATTCAGAAAATATTTAGAATATTGAAAACAGAATTTGTATATGGCAAATATTAAGCATGCAACATATTTATTTAAACTGATTCAAATTATGTCTCATCTGTGGGACATTTGTGCATAATTCCTTTTCACTATTCACTGTTTGTTCATAGCAGCTTCTTGGCCTTTGGGGAAATATATAACTGCAGATCTGTTTTTTAATTATAGTGAATACCATATATGAGATAACTGGTAGTGGAATATTATTTATGTTCTCATCAAGCCTGCAATCTGAGGACAAAGGTTAAAAAAAGAACACAAAAAGAATCACATTCAATCAAATAAAAAATCTAGCACCTTCATTATGTTTATTCCTGGAAGCTTTCAGTTTTAAGTCTCATTGAGAATGTAGCAAAATTTTTAAATCATGGAAGTTCCGTTGGAGCAGACACTTAGCCTATCAGTCTCTCATTCAGTCTGACTCATAGTAATTGTGTCCTTGGAAACTTAACTCATACATACTGATAAGGGATAATGTGAATATTTTCATATTTTTATATTTTCTTCCTAATTGAAAATGATAAAGTTGTATTGTATTTTTTTTAAATTCAACAATGCATATATGCATATACCAAACATCAACATGAAGGAAAAATATAGCAGTTTATTGTTCAGAATGTAAAACATACATTCACACATTTACACAACCACAGATTGTATTTGAGTCATTCATTGTACCCACCAAATGCCAGTCTTTCTTTGATGGTTAGGGGCCAATAGTCTGACACGTCTCAGGATCCAATCAGTGTGGGTTTAAATAGCTTTATAAGGCCAAGATTGTTCTAAACCTAGTTTCGCTTACCTAACCTATAACATGATTTCTTAAAGCCTTATCTCTGTTTTCTTCTCTTTTTGTGTGAATTGTATTTTTTTTAATCCCAGTGAAATGTCATTTCCTAAGGTTACTGCTTTAGACTGCAATCTCCAACAATATTATCTCACTCTCCATCATTAAATGAGAAAGACAAAGCTGTTGAACTGCTACAATTGAGCATTTAATATATACTAGTGATTCATGTTAATTGCTTATGTTTCAATGAAATTGCAAGGATTACAGATCTAAAAAGGTTTATGACACTCAATAATATAAAGTCTCACTGCATATGTGATCAGATTTGTTTTACACACACACATACACACACACACACACACACATGACTTGCTAAAGGACTGACAGGCTGCTGCTACACCCATCTTAAGAAATGCCGTAGTTCTGATATAATAATGTTGTGACTGTTTACAAATAGGTAAAAATCTAATATTCAGTGTTTCTTAGACATTTTCAGAAAAGTTGAAAGAAGGCCTGGAGGCAAAGGTTAGATGCGTGACTGGTTAAAAAAAAAATAACAGAAACTTTTCTAAGTCATAGAGTATTTCCAGTGAAAATAACAACTGAAAAACATTCAGTTTGGCATCACCAGACCTAGTACAACTAGCTTTAGAATATAATTATTCCAAGGTGATGCCTGTGGGACTAGGCCACCTTGAACTGTTTAGTCCAGAGCACTCACAGATGGTGACTGGGTTAGATCTTAGGTAATAAATTAAGAGTGGTGGCCCTAAGGTTTTCTATATTTATTATCCTACTTACTCTCATTTTTTTAACTATACTTTCTGCCTTTAATTCTTTGACCCAGAAACACCTACTAAGATAGCTGTGCATGTATTGGCTGTCCCCGATTCACGCAAACTCAGTTCATATTTGTCCGTGATTGCCTCCCCCTTAATTAGTGTTGAAAATAGCCTCCCAGTCTCCTCTTTCCCCCTTAACCCCATTTCCCCTTGTGATACCTCATTTCCTGTACTGTCACCTGATTTTAGATAATCTTGACTAGTGTCTAAAAGAGCAGAGTTAAGGGACTTCAGTGGTGAGGAGGCCACTGCTTTAGCCTCTCTTTCTTCCTATTCCAACAGTTTCCTCAGTCTTAGAGGAATCCATCCATGTTTGAATTGTATGCCTTATTTAACCATTGGTTTGAATTGCCCTGAAATACTGGGCTTTCATTTGACTTTGACATTTTGATAATTCTTAGGTCCCTTACGAGTGATACAATCTTATCTTACCTAGTTTAATTTTTATAAGGAAAGAGAAGAGGGTGAGAAGTTGATAGAAAAGGAGGAGGAGAGAAGAAATAATAAAAAGTAAAAAGATAAATACACTAGAGGAGTCGCTTGAACAACACCACAAATGCCCTCTGTGTGTGTGGCAAGAAGTCTATGTATACTTCAGAGACTGAACTACTGTGCTTCATACTGGGCCCTGAATAATTCTGTTAGAAGTAATAGTAAGGATTTTAGGAAAAAGAAACAGGTATATGGACTCAGTACAATGGGCGGGGAAACTGACCAGAAACCAGGAAGAATCTTTAAGCGCTTTTGTTGAAGCAAGGTCTGGTCATCCCACACCTTCTTTTTCCCCCGCCAGGCCTCCCATGTCACCACAATGCCTTAACCCATCTCTCTCCAATTTGCTGAAGTAGCAGAGCCTCAAAATGGATACCCAGTTGTCTTTAGGAAAGAGATACAGATGGAGGAAGACTCGGAAGGGAAGTCTTTGATGTAATTCAGTAACAGAGAGAGAGATGCGCTTCCCATCTTGAGTTAGAATTCTAAAAATACTCCTCATGGAATATCTTTACATGTATTGACTTAGTTCTGTGAACTCTGTTAGAAGTTAGATTTTTCTCTAACTTTAAAAGACTTTTAGAAGTCTTCTTTTTAAAAGGTTTGAAGAAAAACAAAGTTAGGTCAGAACATATGCTTAGGGATTTTGAAAGATGGCATGACTTATGAAGGATAATACACCGAAAAGTGCAGTCTCTTGTAAATTAATTTGATTCTGTCTCTCCGAGGTTCAGCTTGTCCCTCAGCAATGTCACCACAGGTCAGAAATTTGTCCTTAGCTTTAGAGGTTTCTGTGATATCAGTAGATTTGTAAGCAGTGATGCCAGTTAACTAATTTTCCTGAGAAATAGCTTGGCTAAAAACTAAGGTAAGTAATGTATGTGGCGTCTTCAGTCATGGAAGATATTACCATACCTCTTTCTTTTTCTTTTTTTGATGATTATTTTTAATGTCTTTACTATGTCAGAGGGATTATGCTGGGTAACAGAGGTAAAATGGTGAACAAAAAAGAGAATTTGTTCTGCCTTCCTGGGTCAGAAATGGGTAATTTACAAGCATGCTGCCTTCCTTGGAACCTTGAAATGAGGGTAGCCATTTCTTAGGCTCCCATTATGAATTCAAATGCTGATTCCTTGTCACTCTTGGTCGCCACAGTAGGCCTGGTGGCTGCTGTCTTGGTACTAGCAATCTAACAGAGGAAATGAACACTAATTACATGATTTACAAAAATGAGCAAATATTTAACAATGGACATAACTTATTTCTATGAAGGAAAGGAAAGAAAGTTTTGTGACAACAGATTAGTCTGACTTAAGCTGAAGCTTGAAAGCATGAAATGATTCCCTAGTAAAGTGATGTTTATGATCTAAAAGACACATTGGATAGAACTGTATGAAGTATATGTATAAGGGGATTGGTGGATGTGCATATGGTTTCTAGGAAGGAGAAACAATATATCAAGTGAGCTTGGCACCCTAAAAAGTGAAAGTGTTAGTCACTCAGTCATGTCCAACTCTTTGTGACCCCATGGACTGTAGCCTGCCAGGCTCCTCCGTCCATGGGATTTTTCAGACAGGAGAACTGGGGTGGGTTGCCATTTCTTTCTCCAGAGATCAAAACCAGGTCTCCCACATTGCAGTCAGACTCTTTACCATCTGAGCTATGAGGGATGCCATGGCACTCTCAAGGAATTGAAAAAAGTCAGTTTGGTTGCAGTATTGAAGTTCAGAAGAGGGGAACTAGCAAAGGCTTGGTAGGTAGACAGGGGCTTATCTAAGAGCTAGACTTAAATGTGTGACACTAAACTCCACCATAATTTGTTCAGTCAACAAATCTGTGTTGAGCAACAGCCTTCTGCCAAAATGGTGACTGGGACCACCATTATGGGAATGGGTGAGGGGCACAGTCATGGTACTTGCCTTCCTGGACCTACACTAATTAAATGCAATTAAGTGTAAAATTTTGGTCGTGATGAGTTCAGTGTGATAGATATATACCTTACTAGATGACTTTTATCTTGCTCCAGAAGGTAAAGAAAGGCCTACTGGTGGCAGAAAGTGAAGTCTGAATATTAATAGAAATTGATTAGGCAACAGTAGAGAGCAGGAAGGTGTTTCAGATAGAAGTACTATATTTATTCATTCATTCAACAAATATGTATTGATTACCTACTAGGTGCCAACCAGAAGTCTAAGTTTTGAGGTTAAGTATGGACAAAACATAAATCGTTCTTCTCTGAAGCTTATGTTCCAGCAAGCATCAGAATACCTAAGCAAGCTTTTTTTTTTTTTAATACTATGAAAAAAGGTGCTAAAAACTATAAGGGAAAATAGACTGGAGAAGGAAGCAGTTTTACATGGAGGAGGTCAAGGGAAACTTTGCTGAGAAGGTGGCTTTGAGCAAAAACTAAAACAAAATAAGGGAGGTGTTTCGGAGGTGCATAGGTCCTATGGTTTTTTTGCATTTGAAAACTGAAAAAAGACTATAAATAGAGCATAAAGGAAGCCTATTGTTCTAGGGAGATAGCTGTTTCTAGTGAAAAAATATCAGAAATCTGGTGAGGCCAATAGCTTTTACAGAAAATGCTCTAATGAAAACATTTTCCTGATAAAAGGTAGAACTATTAAAATCTCATTTTTAGACATGTTCTTCTATATGGGTTTAACACTTGCGTGTCAAGCTAGACATTGGATGTGTTTAAGGCCACAGACCTGTAGGGTTTCTGGCATATAAAAAGTGTGGATTATTTTGCTAAATGACCTCAATCTTAAAGTTATTGTCTAAAA